ACCATTTTATAGGATATGGAGAGTTGAAACTCTTTGGTGGTTTAATAGTAAGAAGGTATTTGTCTTTATTACTCTTATTCCCTTAATAGTATATGGGGAAGTTGTTCAGAGACTCCATGATGTGTGATGATGTCATTGCTCTGATATAATGTAGAACATTATCCTTCTCATTAAAGTTTTTGAGAAATTCTGCCTGGTTGGATAAGGCTCAGTTTACTCAATTCTATAGGGCTATACAAATCATGATTCTTTGTTCAGTCATTCGCTTAGTGGGGTGCTTATACTCTGCTTCATGAGTAAATTCTTAAGTTTTCAAAGTTTAATAGTGAGAGAGCTGATTCCTGAAGTTCTTTTTTTTAGAGATGAAGTTTTGCTCTTGTTGCTCAGGCTGGAGTGCAGTGGTGCAACCTCAGCTCACTGCAACCTCCGCCTCCTGGGTCCAAGCAGTTCTCGTGCCTCAGCCTCCCAAATAGTTGGGTTTACAAGCATGTGCCCCACACCAGGCTAATTTTGTATTTTTAGTAAAGATGGGATTTCACCATGTTGGCCAGGCTGGTCTCTAACTCCTGGCATTATGTGAGCAGCCTGCCTCAGCCTCCCTGAGTGCTGAAATTACAGGTGTGAGCCACTGGGCCCAGCTTGATTACTGAAGTTCTAAGGAATCTTATGAGTCATTTAGTCTAACCTTTCATTTTACAGATGAGGAAACCAAGGCCGCGAGTGATTGACTTGCTTCTAGATCTGTGGGGTGTTTCTAAGTTTAACGAAGTTATTTGGTACCCAGATTTACCCTGATACATGATAGAATATTACAGCAGTTTCCAAACTTTTGGTCTTAGGACCCCATTATACTTTATGTAGATGTTTATTAGAATTTAAAACTGAGAAATTTAAAAAATATTCATTTAAAAACAATGATGGGCTGGGCGTGGTGGCTCACGCCTATGAACCTAGCATTTTGGGAGGCTGAGGCGGGTGGATTGCCTGAGCTCAGAAGTTCAAGACCAGCCTAGGCAACACTGTGAAACCCCGTCTCTACCAAAATACAAAAAAAATAGCTGGACATGGGACTGTAGTCCCAGCTACTTGGGAGGCTGAGGCAGGAGAATTGCTTGAACCAGGAGGTGGAGGTTGCAGTGAGTTGTTACTGTGCCACTACTCTCCAGCCTGGGCAACAGAATGAGACTCCATCTATAAATAAATAAATAACCCATTGCATGTTAACATAAGTTAACATTTTTTATTGAGAAATTATTGTATTTACCAAAACAAAATATAATTTACAAAAGTAGAGTTGTTTGACATTTTTGCAAATCACTTTAATGTCTGGCATAATAGAGGGCAACTGAATGCTCATATTTGCTTTTATAATTCAGTCTGTTGCCACATATTTTGATTGAAGTATATGATGTAAATTTGACCTCACCAAATATGTAGTTGAAAAATGGAAGAATCATCAGGTAATTTGGATATTCCTCTTTGATACTCCAGTGAATGACTCTTTAATCCATGCCTGATTTAATGACATGCATTGTCATTTGGAAAATACTGGTTCAGTAAGTTATGCAGATCTTCCAATTTTTTTTTTTTTTTTGAGACAGAGTCTTGCTTTGTCACCCAGCCTGGAGTGCAGTAGCACGATCTCTGCTCACGGCCACCTCTGCCTTCCAGGTTTAAGGGATTCTCCTGCTTCAGCCTCCTGAGTAGAGTAGCTGGGATTAGAGGCGTGTACTGTATTTTCAGTAGAGATGGGGTTTCACCATGTTAGCCAGGCTGGTATGATACTCCTGACCTCAAGTGATCTGCCACCTTGGCCTCCCAAAGTACTGGGATTGTGGGTGTGAGCCACCGATCCCGGCTAGATCTTCCAAATGTTAACACGTTTCATTATACAATACTAAAAAACACTTTTTAGTATTTTTTAGTATTGTATAATCACTACTAATACAGAACGCTCTTCTAAGTATTAGGAAATTGTTAGATATACAGTGGAAGATACATATTTTCCAAAATTTTAGTTTTTGCTTGAAAGCTCAAATTTTATCATTGGCAACAAACATTGTCAGTTTTTCTTGAAGTGACAGACTCATTTATTTTTTTCTAAAAAATGCCACATTCTAAAGTCTGAATAACCAGTCTGTCGATTGTTTTTTTCAAATAAAAGTAGTGTTTCATGATAATTGTGCAAGTTTTTTTTTTCTGAGATGGAATTTTGCTTATTTTGCCCAGGCTGGAGTATAATGGTGCAGTCTTGGCTCACTGCAACCTCTGCCTCCTGAATTCAAGTGATTCTCCTGCCTCAGCCTCCCCAGTAACTGGGACTACAGGTGCACACCACCACGCCCAGCTAATTTTGTATTTTTAGTAGATATGGAGTTTTACCATGTTGGCCAAGCTAGTCTTGAACCCCTGACCTCTAGTAATCCACCCACCTCGGCCTCCCAAAGTGCTGGCTGGGATTACAGGCATGAGCCACCATGCCTGGCCCTACAGTATTATTTTTGACTACTGTAAGCATTTCATTTAAGTGGACTCATGGAATATTTATCTATTTGTGCCTGGCTTTTTTCACTTAGCATAATGTCCTCAAGGTTAATCTGTGTTGTAGTATGTCAGAATTTCCTTCCCTTTTTAAGACTGAATAATTTTCCATTGTATGTATATTCCGTCAGTGGACACTTGAGTTGTTTCGCATGTTTTAGTGATTGTGAATAATGCTGTGAACATGAGCATACAAGTACCTCTTTGAGACCCCGTTTTCAATGTTTCTGGATATATGCTCAGAGTTTGAATTGGCTGGATCATATGGTAATTCTGATAAAGTTTTTTTTTAGAGACAGGGTCTTGCTCTGTCACCCAGGCTGGGGTGCAGTGGTTCTGTCCTGGCTTTCTGCTACATCAAACTACAGGGTTCAAGTAATCCTCCCACCTCAGCCTCCCCAGCAGCTAGGACTACAGGTGTGCACCGCCATGCCTGGCTAATTTAAGAAAATATTTTTTGGGAGGCCAAGGTGGGTGGATCACGAGGTCAAGAGATCGAGACCATCCTGGTCAACATGATGAAACCCCGTCTCTGCTAAAAATACAAAAAAATAGCTGGGCATGGTGGCGCACTCCTGTAATCCCAGCTACTTGGGAGGCTGAGGCAGGAAAATTGCCTGAACCCAGGAGGCGGAGGTTGTGGTGAGCAGAGATCACGCCATTGCACTCCAGCCTGGGTAACAAGAGTGAAACTCCATCTCAAAAAAAAAAAAAAAGAAAGAAAATATTTTATACATACAGGGTCTCACCATGTTGCTCAAGTTGGTTTTGAACTCCTGGGCTTAGGCAGTCCTCTTGCCTCAGCCTCCCAGAATGCTGGGATTACAGGCGTGAGCCACTGCATCTGTCCTGTTTTTAATTTTTTAACAGACTGCTGTACTGTTTTCCACAGTGTCTTGACCATTTTACAACCCTACCAGTAGTGCCCAAGGGTTTCAGTTTCTTCACATCCTCATAACATTGGTTATCTGTTAAAAAGAAAACTGCAGGTTTTCTTTTTTTGTAGTAGCCATCTCAATGGATGTAAGGTGGTGTCATTTTAATTTTAATTTGCATTTTCCTAGTGAATAGTGATCATCAAGGGCATTCTTAAATGAGATTGAAGAAAATTTTTGTCTTTTTTTAGCTGCAAGTGCATGGAAGTGAAGAGTACATGATTAGTTTAGCTTGGGGCCACTGGCTTGATTTGAGCTAAAGCTGCAGCAGTTTTGGTCTCTGTTGCTTTTTTGCCTTCCTATCATTGCTTTTGCATCATTAGTACAGGTATCAACACAATAAAAAAAAGACAATGAATGTTTTGGTATGATTATATATGTAATTTTAACATTGCAGACTCCTGGGTTCCCAGACCACTCTTTGAGAATTGCTGGATTACTAGTGTGTGTTCTGCTATGTTTTGTTGTTGTTTTTGTTTAGTTTGAGATGAAGTCTCACTCTGTCACCCAGGTTGGAATACAGTGGCACAATCTTGGCTCACTGCAACCTCCGCCTCCTGGGTTCAAGAGATTCTTCTGCCTCAGCCTCCCAAGTAGCTGGGATTACAGGCACCCGCTACCACACTTGGCATATTTTGTATTTTTAGTAGAGATGGGCTTTTATCATGTTGGCTAGGCTGGTCTCAAACTCCTGACTTCAAGTGATCTGCTAGCCTCAGCCTTATTGTTGTGTATACATGATTCTTACCTGTTTCAGTACCTGGAACTGTTAAAAATTAATGTTATTTAACTAACAGTTGGCTAGGGAAGATTGGCTAAAGTTTTGAAAACTGCTTCTTTACACCTTCCACAGGATTTGGCCATCAATATTTGATCTACTTAGCATGTTATAGAAGTGATTTCTGACTTACCTGCATATTAAAATCATCTGGAGTACCCTAAAACCACTGTATAGGTCCCAACTCTATAGATTGCATTGGTTTGGAATGCTGCTTGGACTTTGGGATTTAGAAAGTTTCCCAGTTGACCACTGCTTTATAGGGATTGAACACTGATTTGATTAGCTGTTTACTCAAGTGTTTTCTACATTATTTAAATAAAATAGGATTTAAAAACATGGTTTGACACTGTTACTGGAACAAAAGAAAATTAGATTATGGTAAAAAGTGGTTTAAAAACAACTTGAGATGTAGTAGTCAGTGCTGTGTAAAAGTTTGCTTGGAGAGATACACTAGTGATTTTAAAATGGGGTTGGTAATTCTGATAAGAATATCGTGGCCAATGATGGGTCATGTATTCTCAAAAGTTTTATTTTTTTTCCTAAAACACTTGATTTATAGTATTCTTTTGTATTTACACAAATACTGTATGTAATACATATTAGTAATTGAGTAGAAATAAGTATTTCTTAGAAAATGAATTTTAAAGTAATACAGGCACATTTTTTCAGGTGCTAATGTCTTTTTTCTTAGAATTAAAAGTTAAATATAAATATGATATTCAAAGATTTTTCTGTTTTTTTAGAATTAAAGTTGGGAGAACTACTTCATGATAAGCTGTAAGTATTTATGTATCCTTTGAAAATAGTGTAGTGTAATATTTCAATCTGTTTTTTTCTAATGTGGAGTAATATTCCTTGAAGTTTGAGTAAATTTACATTTCAAAATTGTAAAAATAAAAGTAATTATAAATATATTTTTAACTGTGATGACCTATTTTGGGGCAGCTGACCCTAGTTGCAATGTGAAACAGTTGTACCTAGGGAAACTGTGACTTATGGGCCTTTCCTTGAGAGCAGATGTACTTACTGAATATGAAATTTCTTGAAGAAAAGATATCAGTTGTATATCATATGTGGTAGATTGGTTGGTAACCACAAATTGGGTGACTGAGTCCCTAGATAAAAGTAAATGAGAATCCCTGTGTCTTAGTCAGTTTAGTGTTGTTGAAACAGAATACCTGAGACTGGGTAATTTATAAAGAGGTTTATTTGGCACACAATTCTGATGACTGGAAGGTTCAAGATTGGGCACCTGCATCTACTGAGAGCTTTAGGCTGCTTCAACTCATGGTGGAAAGCAGAAGGGGAGCAGCAGGGAGTGGCATGTGGTGCAAAAAGATCACATGGTGGGGGAGGATGCAAGAGAGAGAAACCGAGGAAGTCAGACTCTTTATAACAACCAACTCTCTTGGGTAGTATCATTGACCTTTGAACAACTTGGGGGTTGGGGTGCTGACCCTCCCCGTCACAGTCAAAAACTCATATATAACCTTTGACTCCCCCTAAAACTTAACTACTGGTAGCCTACCGTTGACTGGAAGGCTTACTAATAACATAAACAGCTGATTAACACATATTTTGTATGTCATATGTGCCATATACTGTAATCTTACAGTAAAGTAGGTAAAAGAAAATGTTGGCTGGGCGCGGTGGCTCAAGCCTGTAATCCCAGCACTTTGGGAGGCTGAGGCGGATGGATCACAAGGTCAAGAGATCAAGACCATCCTGGTCAACATGGTGAAACCCCGTCTCTACTAAAAATACAAAAAATTAGCTGGGCATGGTGGCGTGTGCCTGTAATCCCAGCTACTCAGGAGGCTGAGGCGGGAGAACTGCTTGAACCCAGGAGGCGGAGGTTGCAGTGAGCTGAGATCACGCCATTGCACTCCAGCCTGGGTAACAAGAATGAAACTCCGTCTCAAAAAAAAAAAGAAAATGCTATGAAGAAAATCATAAGGAAGAGGAAATATACTTACTCTTCATTAAGTGGGTCATCATAAAGGTCTTCATCTTTGTCATATTTATGTTGAGTAGGCTGAGGAAGGAAGAGGAAGTTAGTCTTATAGTCACTGGTGGCACAGGTGCAAGAAAACCTTTGTCTAAGTGGACTCATGCAATTCAGACATGTGTTTAAAGGGTCAACTGTAATTTATTCCAGGGAGAGCAAGAACTCACCTCCCTGGGAGGGCATTAATCTGTTTAGGGGGATTCTCCCCCATGCCCCAGATACTTTCCACCAGATCCCATTTCCCAACACTGCCACATGGGGAATCAAGTTTTAACATGAATTTTGGTGGAGACAAACCGCATTCAAACCATAGCACCCTGGAAAAACAAACGGAAATACTTGTTCATGTTTATACACCCATATGTAGCTCCAGTTCCTATACTGCCATGGCCAGGCTCAATTTTTAAGGTGAGGAATATGAAACGAATTCGTAAGTAGACAAGATTCAACATTGTGGTTGGGGGAAATGGCAGGTAGAATCTGAAATCCAGTTCTTCTCAAATTTTAGTGTGTGTCAGAATCATATGGAGGGCTTAATAAAGTGTAGATTGCTGGACTACCACCCCTAGAATTCTTTGTTAGGTCTAGTGTGTGACCACAGAAATCTTTTTCTTCCTCATGATGCATGTAAAATAATTTGAGGGGCAAGTACATGAAATAATTTTTATGTCAATGGACAGTTAATTGAAATAGAAGTGTTAGCAAGTTGGGCAGATTAAATACATAGAATAGTTATTAAAAGTAATATAATTTTATATCACTGTGAAAATACAAATAAGCTTACTGGCTGAAAAACAATTTGTGCGTTCTTTTTTTTTTTTTTTTGCAGATTTGGTCTTTTTGAAGCCATGTCTGCTATTGAAATGATGGATCCCAAGATGGATGCTGGCATGATTGGAAACCAAGTTAATCGAAAAGTTCTCAGTTTTGAACAAGCTATCAAGGTAGTCATTGTTGTACTTTTTGTGTTTCCATTTATCTTTTATTTCATGTTAAAACATTGTGCTTAATCGTGAAATGAAAGTTGTATTAATAAAAGTATATTTACTTGGGAGGCCGAGGCGGGTGGATCACGAGGTCAACAGATCGAGACCATCCTGGTCAACATGGTGAAACCCCATCTCTACTAAAAATACAAAAAATTAGCTGGACATGGTGGCACGTGCCTGTAATCTTAGCTACTCCGGAGGCTGAGGCAGGAGAATTGCCTGAACCCAGGAGGCGGAGGTTGCAGTGAGCCGAGATCGCGCCATTGCACTCCAGCCTGGGTAACAAGAGCGAAACTCCGTCTCCAAAAAAAAAAAAAAGTATATTTACTTCAAAGCATGTCAAGTATATAAACAAGAATTAGTTATAAACTTTTAGTTACGTATCTCTATTAGAATCTGAAAAATTGAGATCTTCATTAAAACCTTGCTCCAAATTTGTACATTTGTATACTTTTAAAATTAATTTTTGAAAGCATTTGGCTATCTATTCAAATATCAGGAAAATTGACCTGGGAATTAAATTTTGTATATTAATATGTTAATACATAGAAGTAAATTTACACAAGGAAAATACTTGTAGTGAAATTAAATTTGCTTTAGAAATTCATTTATACTTGCCATAGAGTTTGATTTTACATATTTTAAGAAGAAAGATTTGCTAAGCAAATGGATATTGTAGACAAAATTTACAAGAAATATAGTTAACCAACTTAAGAGAAGTGTTTTAAATAATCTTTATTTAGTTTTCTAAGTAGTTTTGGGTCATTAAAATGATTTATATTAATGCTTAAAGTTGGTTTGAACTGTGCTTTTAAAATACTTGTTGATATTTGGCTTTTCATTTTATTTGAAGGCCTTTATCATTTTAATTTTTTTTACTGAAAACCTAAGATATATTGTTTTTACAATTATTTGTCAATTAAAAATTTACAAGAAGATGTATAGTTTTTAAGAATACAGAGTTAATTTGGTATGATAGTTTTATCAGATGATAAGATAGTATTTTCTTAGAATTGTTTTTAAATATTGAAATCTAAAATGCTACTATACATAGTATATGGTATACATAAATTTTAAAAAAATTTTGCTTATATGTCACATTCTTCCTCCCTTTTAGGATGGCACTATTAAAATTAAAGATCTCACCTTGCCTGAATTGATAGGGATTATGGATACATGTTTCTGCTGTTTGGTAAGAATGGAAATAAGACTATTGGTTAATTTGAAAACTGTGATTTACCTGAATTTTGTGATTTGAAAGCCTATACACTAATGCTGAGTTTGAAGTAAATGTAATAGTGGGCCAAGTAAAGATGTGTATAACATTAGCAGGCCAGGTAATAGCATTTCATCTTGTCATCTACTTGATTTTACTTTCTAATTTTCTGGGTGAAGGGATATTTTATTTTTAGTGAAGATAATATTATAGCCTTTGTTCATAACACCCTTTTCATTCTCAAGTTGCCTAATAAATAAATCTGTAATTCGAAAGTTTCATAAATAAACATGAAATTGAAACAGCTATACAATGGCTTTGGAGAGATTTTTTTTTTTTTAATCTAGGATAAATTGTAGTAAACTGGCCATCTTCTGTGAAGAAAATTTTTTAGTTATTTGGATATGCTGAATTATGTCTTCCCTAGAAATTATTGTTTGTGGAGAAATTCTCATTTGTACTGCTTTCCACTTTCCCATGCTTTCTGACCATCCCTTTCTTTTTAAATTGACATTAAGTCATTGTCCTTAGAAATGTGTAAAATTTATTCATTTGTTCATTCAACATTTATTGATTGCTAGTATGGGTAATTAGGTGTTTTATATGTATAGTTGTCACCTGTATTTTATATGAGCTTTATTAGATATCTGTATTATCTTACTGCCTATGGTTACATTGCTTGGGAGGGGCCTACCCGCAATCCTAATTCTTCATCTTCTGAAGCCGTCTCTCAAAGATTTCTTTATTACCTTTTAGCAGTTACAGTCCTAGTGGATAGAGTAAAGAAAGGAGGTAAAGGATTGCTGGGAACAGAGGTGAAGAAACAACATGTAAATGCTTTTATAATGGTGCTGTGGGAACAGAGAGGAGGAGTTAATTACATCTGAGAAGTAAGAAAGGCTGTGTAGAAATGAAGTGATACTGGTATGAGGTACTGAAGAATGGTAGGCGTATAACAGGAAGATTCATGGTTTAGTAGAAAAAGAGGCTATATTGCATGGGCATGGCTATGTGAAAATGTTCATTTTGGAAAATCATAAATAGATGCTTAAGGCTGAAGTCTGGCAGGGAGTCAAGTAGGAGTGTGGGAATAGTGGAGAGTAGTGGAGAAGGCAGGAAAGGTAAACAGAGGGAAGATTTTTGCCAAAGTTGAGGAACTATTCTGTGAGACTCTTGGGACTGTATTTAAAATTTTGGACTCTAAAAGGTAGATGGATTTTAGTTTGGAAAGTCTGTCTGCTGCACACTAGTTAATACCAAATACACACCTTAATTACAAAGTTTTTCACAAACATTTGTCATTTTGCAATGCAGTAGTATATGTCTTACTTTGTTGCAGAATTCTTGGGCTTTAGTATAAAAATAACTGTAAACTTGGGCAAATAATAACTCTTAACTCTGTTTCTTTACATGTAAAAAGAGTAAAATACCACCTTTCTCAAAGTGCTAGGAAAAAATGAGATAACATATATGAAAAAAACCTAGCATAATATTTTGGACATAGTAGTTACCCAATTTTGCCTAATGTTGGTATTCCCAACCTCTAGTACATGATGCCGGACATATAGTGGGCACTCAGTAAAATAGTATAAAATCTTAATGTTTTGGAAAGATCTCTGGTTGGGAGTATTAAAGATGGGAAGCAGAAAAACTTACCTAGTTTCTTGCAATAATCTAGGTGAGATATGGTGTTGGCTGGGTTGTGGTGGTAAGGATTATAAAGTTCAGTGAGTATCTAAGGACTTGATTAGTTCTAAAATAGTGAATTTTCCAGTTTGTGGATTTTTATTGCCTACGTTGTAGAATAAATTTCTTTTGGATGCTACATAAAGAGACAATCTTAATTTCATTAATCTCTAACATATTATGCAAACTTATTTATATATGACAATGATTCCCATAGACACTTGAAAAATGTTAATTAATTAAAGTGAATTCTAACTTGTCTTTTTTTAAGTCTTATGATTAATCTTATTTGGGTCTATGGTACTCTGGCCTTTGACTCTAGGATCAATTTAGACTTTGCAGACTCAGTTAATCACCTTAAATATGTACTCTTTTGTTTCTTTATAGATAACATGGTTAGAAGGCCATTCGTTGGCACAGACAGTATTTACGTGCCTTTACATTCATAATCCAGACTTTATAGAAGATCCAGCTATGAAGGCTTTTGCTCTGGGAATCTTGAAAATCTGTGACATTGCAAGGGAAAAAGTAAATAAAGCTGCTGTTTTTGAAGAGGTAAGATTTTGTAATATGAGAATTCCTTGGCCAGGTGTGGTGGCTCATGCCTGTAATCCCAGCACTTTGGGAAGCCAAGGTGAGCAGATCACCTGAGGTTGGGAGTTTGAGACCAGCCTGGCCAACATGGTGAAACCCTATCTCTACTAAAAATACAAAAATTAGCCAGGTGTGGTGGCATGTGCCTGTAATCCCAGCTACTTGGGAGGCTGAGGCATGAGAGTTGCTTGAACCCAGGAGGAGGTTGCAGTGAGCTGAGATTGAACCACTGCATTCCAGCCTGGGCAACAGAGCAACAAAGCTAGACTCTGTCTCAAAAAAAAGAATTCCTAAGTTAATTGCCTGCCTTATTCACTGTGAAGTATTTAAATGATTTTGTGATACATACTTTTGTCCTACATGTATAGTTAAAAACAGTTTTTAAAAAGTAATGCTCTTGCCATTATAGATATATTGGGTAAAGTAATTCCATCCTTTCCAAGAAGGGCTTTTGTCTTAGCATATGTTCTTTCTGTCAATACCATTCATTGAGTATTCGTATGTGCAGAGTACTGTTTTTGGATGTTGTGGGAATTCCCAGAGAAAAATAAGAGACAGTCCTTGTCCTCAGGTCTCTTAAAAGTTATAACACAAAAAGAGAGCTAAGAAGAACAAAAGAATATTTTAGGGTATAGACATTTTCCTCTAGTTTGTCGTAAGTGCCTCACCTGAGAAAGTATTTTGAGTTTTAGACTTGGAAAGATTTTTTTTCCCCATTAGCATAAAAAATAAGCTTTCAGATGCTGATAATTTTAAGGGAATTGCATCTCAATCTAGGATTACAAAAAAAAAATTGTAAGGGAAAATGTGTTAGCATTTGAAATTATTGATAACTAATTATTTTTGTTAAATTCTTCTGTTGAAACCAATGTTTCTTTTTAGTGCTGTTGCTGGTCCAGAATAAATTTCATAGAATTCAACAGTGGTTCAGTGTATAGTATGTAAAACTTTTTTCAATTTATACTGTGTATGTGAGAATAATAAAATATATACTCAATATGTTTGTCCATATTTGAAGGTATGGCTTTTATTGGGGGTGGGAGATGGAGTTTCGTTTCTGTTGCCCTGGCTGGAATGCAATGGCATGATCTCAGCTTACTGCAACCTCCACCTCCTGGGTTCAAGCGATTCTCCTGCCTCAGCCTCCCTAGTAGCTGGGATTACAGGCATGCACCACCATGCCCAGCTAATTTTGTGTTTCAGTAGAGACCCAGTTACACTATGTTGGTCAGGCTGGTTGTGAACTCCTGACCTCAGGTGATCCACCTGCCTTGGCCTTCCAAAGTTCTGGAATTATAGGCGTGAGCCACCACGCCTTTCCATATGGCTTTGTGAGTTGTTTATGAAATAGTGTCTACTTTTTATACAGTCACTGGTTATTTACATGTTTGTATTGATAATGAGTATCATTATGGAAAAATGTTATCCATTTGGATGAAATTTTAAAAAGATTAGTTTGAGTTAGAGAAATACAGATTATTCTAAATACTTGTATTTTCAAAGTACAACTAAAAGAACATCAAAATCAGTGGGGCAGAGAAAGGATTCTTTGGACAACAGTGCACGAATGATTGATTAGCACCCTTGAAAGTTACTTTATCATCATTTCATATCAAAATTTCAGGTAGCTGAAATGCGTTAATTATGAAAAAGTTATTTAAAAATCAGGAGAAGATAGTTCACAGAAAATAAAGTGGCCTGTAAATGTAAGACGCTTAACCTTACTTTAATGCAAATTCAAACTGAAATATCATGATTTTACCCATTGTTGGCAAAAATTAGAAATTTTTTATAAGGTTGATGAGGATGGGAAAACAGGCACTCAGATACTCTTTGTGTGTGTCTATGGTATATGTGTGGTTATTATTTTCCACTTTTTATTCTTTTTTCAGAACTTTTTATTGGGGAATAATTTCAAATGAACAGCAATTATGGCAATCAGCACAAAGAACATATAATTTGTATACAGATTCAACTACTGTTAGCATACTGTCCCATTTGCTTTTTTCACTTACGCACGTGCTTGTGTGCGTGCTCGCTCTCATGTATATATGTATGTATGTCTTTTCCTGGACTCTTAGTAAGTTGTGCCCATTACAGCTTTCTTCCCCGTGACACTTTAGTGTGCTTCTCTGAAGAAAAGGGGCACTGTCCTACAGAACCACGACACAGTTACCAACTTCAACAAATCTGTAATATCTGCACTGTTCAGATTCCATTTCTGTTAATTCCATTTCTGTTAATTCTTCTTAGTGTTTTTTCCCCTACAGCAAAGGATCCAGTCTAGAATTATGTCCTGCATTTAATTGCATATCTCTGTAGTATTCTTTAAGCTACATCAGTATCTTAGCTTATCTTTTTCTCCATTGACATTGATATTTTTGTGAACACAGCCTTGTCCTGCTTTTCATTTCTTGATAGGCTATGCCTCACTTGGGTTTATCTGTTTTTTCCTTATTATTATATTTAGATTGTGGAATCTTGGCTGGAATACAACATAAGTGATTTGTGTTTTTCAGGGTGTCAAATCTGGAGGTGTGCAGTCTGTCTGCCCTTCAATAGTGATATTTTGATCAGTCCATAAAGATTTTGTCTGATTACCATATGGTTACTATTTTTTTTCCCCTTTGTAGTTAAGCAGTCTTGGGATACACTTTAAGACCATAAAAATAACCTACTGACTAAAGTCTCTCCTCTTAGACTGAACATCTATTGATGGTGCTTGCCTGAGCTAATGTTTACTGTGATGGTTGCAAAATTTGTATTTTTTTATTGTGGTACACTTTCCATATTGATCAGTCAACCCTTGACATTCTACTCTACAGGACTTATACTTTTTTGATGGCAGTGTAAACTCTTACAACTTTAAAAAAGAGCCATGTGGCGATATCTGTCATAATCTAAAATGTACATCTTGACTCAGCAGTTTCAGTTCTAGCAATTTATCCTACAAATATATTTGTGTTTGTACACAGAGACCTATGTGCAAGCATATTAATTATAGAATTGTTTGTAATAACTAATCTGGAAACTACCTCAGTGTTTATCAATAGGAAACTAATTGAAAGATGTCACATTCATACAATCAAGTATTTTGCTGCTGGCCAGGTGTGGTGGCTCATGCCTATAATCCCAGCACTTTGGAGGGACGAGATAGATGGATGGCTTGAGCCCAGGAGTTTGAGGCCAGCCTAGGCAACATCTTGAGACCCTGTCTGTACAAAACTTAGCTGGGTGTGGTGGTGTATACCTGTAGTCTCAGCTACTAGAGAGGTTGAGGTTGAAGGATCACCTGAGTCTGGGAAGGTCAAGGCTGCAGTGAGCTGTGATTGTGCCATTGCACTCTAGTTGTGTGCAGTGAGGCTCTGTCTCCAAAAAAAAAAATAAGGATTTTACTGGCTTTAAAAAGGAGATCAATTTTTTTAAAAATTGAAAGAAAAAAAGGTCAATTTATGTGTAGAGATAAAGTTGGATTTCTAAAGTGAGGAAACTCAGGTATAGTAAAGCATGTATGTAGCTTGCTACCACGTTTTTCTTTTTTTAAAAAGGGAGATAGGGGCTGGGTGCGGTGGCTCACGCCTGTAATCCCAGTACTTTGGGAGGCCAAGGCCAGTGAATCATGAGATCAGGAGTTCGCGACCAGGTCTTGAGTGCTAGGGTATACACTTGTTTGCTCTTTTGGGATTTTTATGGTGTGTCTGCATTATTTTGTTCCTAAATAAACTAAGTTTTTTAATAACAGAAGAAATAATAATTGAATTTTATTTTTAGAAGGTTCCACTTTGTTACCCAGGCTGGAATGAAGTGGCATGATTGTAGCTCACTGGTAGCCTTGAACTCCTATGCTCCAGCAATACATTGCCTCAGCCTTCCAAGTAGTTAAGACTACAGATTTGAACCACGTCACGTGGCTATTTTTTAAATTTTTTGTAAAGACTGGATTTTGCTTTGTTGGCCAGGCTGGTATTAGACTCCTGGGCTCAAGTGATGTTCCCACCTCAGCCTCCCCAAGTGCTGTCTGGAATTAGAGCCATGAGCCCTAGCACCTGGCTTGTAATTGAACATCTATTTGTATTCTGGATGAAGGACTTATTAGGAAATGGGAGAAATCATAAAGGAAGAGACTAACAGGACAAGAGTGATAGAAAAACTTTTAGGAAAAATAAAGATACAAAGAGAATTAATTTTTATGAATTATGTTCAAATAAAGTATATACTCAGGCCCAAATGAATAAATGGGCAATAAAATAAGTTGCTTATTTTATGAAGGAAGGTTATCAAATGGCTATAACATGTTAAAAATTTAGCTTCACTATAATCCAGAAAATATAAAAATGAGTAGTTTGATTTTTTTCTTTTTTTTTTTTAACTCCACCCACTTCTTGATCTTAGATTTCCCAGCTCCTAGAATTGATTGATTTTCATCAATATAATTTTTAAAATGAAAATGTTCAGTATTGGAAGGGATGCAGTAAGTTGACACTTCAGTTTTTACTAGTGGGAGTACATTAGCATAGCTGTTTTGGCAAACAGTTTAATAATATGTATATCAAGAATCTTAAAAATACTGGTATCATTTAAACTGGTATCATTTAATTATTTCACTTCTATAACTCAGCCTTAAATAATTAGGCCAGGCATTGAGCCTCACGCCTGTAATCCAGCACTCTGAGAGGCCAAGACGGGCGAATCACCTGAGGTCAGTAGTTTGACCAGCCTAGCCAACATGGTGAAACCCTGTCTCTACTGAAAATACAAACATAGCTGGGCATAGTGGCACGTGCCTGTAATCATACCTACTTTGGAGGCTGAGATGATTGAATTGCTTGAACCTGGGAGATGGAGGTAGGAGTGAGCTGAGATTACACCACTGCACTCCAGCCTGGGTGACATCTCAACAACAGTAACAAAAAAGGAAGTAATTAGAAATGTGGGCACTTTATGCTGAAATATGTTAACCA